CATGGCGAGAACTGCAGCCCAAAATGTGGCTGACGCCTACGCAGAATGCGTGTTCTGGAGATTTGGAGCCAGTGAGATGATTCGTCCCGACAGAGACCCGCCCTTCATGGGTCGGATGTTCAAGCACTTCCGGGGATGCTCGAGAGGAGGCAACGCGCGACACTAGACTATCATCCCCAGGCCAAAAGCCAACAAGAGAGGGCCGTGCAAACGGTGATCCACAGTGCTAAGGCGTACGTACAGACTGTGGACCAGAGTGACTGGGACGAGCTAGCCAAAACTGCATGTGGGCGCTGAGCATTTCTTTCGACTTCACCCCACTCGACATGCCGTTCTACTTGGGCAGCCCCACTTACCGTCGAAGCCATGATAGAAGACGTTCCTGCAGCTTCGGGACGCCCAGGAATAGCGCACGAAGGTGCAACGCCAGGTGAAATACCCGAGAGCCTAGGCCCGGAACCTTCAAGCAAAAGCCAAAACGCACCTGGCGAGGACCATAACCGCAAGTGGAAATAGCTTACAAACCGACTCAATGAGGGTTTCGAGGTCGGGGGCTCGGTATGGCTGTAACTAGCCTAAATCCGTCCCGGACTCACCAAGAAGCTCACACATCTCTGGCACGGCCCGTTCCGGATCCGGGAAAGGTAGCGATTTCCGATACCGCCTCCAGGTCGAGGGTACGGAATACCGGTTTCACCCATGGCTCCACGTTAGCAGGCTGAAGCCCCGAGCCAGATACTTGGTGCGGCCCTCGGGAACCATAGACATCCCCGAAGAAGACGACTTCGACGCTGCGTTGCTCAGTGAAGATAATTGGGAGCCCGATTAAGGTTCCGGGGAATACGAGGTCGAAGAGATACTCGACGTGCGCTAAGTCACCCGGACCCGCACCAGCCGGCGCGTCAAGGGAGTACCTAGTGAAAATGGAAAGGCTACGAGGCTCCAGATTGGATTTCCCAAGGACGCCTCAACTACCGGAGGCTGTTCTACGAGTTTGATCATGGAGAGCGAGCCCGTGTGCGTTTCCAGGCCATGCAGTCCGGAGACGAGCTCCTGGACGAAGAAGTCGGGTA